CCAACTACCCCTCCCGCCGGCCTGATCGCCCCCAACTGACCCCCACTGATGGTCTCCTCACCCCAACTGCACCCCCGCCAACCTGATCACACCCAACTGCCATCTTTGTCCCGCTAATTTGCATACTCACTCCTGATTGGCTGGTGGGCATCGCGATGTGATGGTCAATTTACATATTTCTCTTTTATTAGTGTATATATATAGATATGCATAACCTATGGACACAGACAAGAGTGTGGTGAAGGCCTGATGTAGCGTGGAGAGGATCAATGGGGGAAAGAGGGATAGGGGATATCTGTAATACTTTCAACAATAAAAATAAACTTTAAAATATATAAATAAAATAAGAGGGAAATTATAATATATTTTTAAGAATTTTTAAGTGAAAAAAATTCTGCAAACATTAGAAAGCACAGAAAAATAGCACAGTAAAATAATATATTTATTAACTGCCAGATACCTTGATATTATTTTGGCTACATATTCTTTGACTGCCTTTTTGTATGACAATGATTTTATAATGATTTTTTATAGAGAAAATAGAAAGATAATTCCGTTTTCCTCTAGCATAGTTGATCAAATTTTTTTTATTAATGATAGTTTAGAAAATTTCCTTCAACAATAAATGTGATATTGATATTGCCATGTAACTTTGTAGGATTATTGTCAAATTTGGGGAAATCTCCATATAGTTTTGTTTTCATATATAAACTATAAGATTTCAGGTCACTCTAGCTTTTCTTGTTCAATGCACTAACCTTAAATTCTCTTTGAATTGATACTCATTAATCAGTTTGTCAGCAATGTCCTTGTTATAAAACTTACATGAATTTTATGTAATTACTACAGGCCCGGTGCACAAATTCGTGCACCAGTGGGGTCCCTCAGCCTGGCCTGCGGGATTGGGCTGAAACCAGCTCTCTGACATCCCCTGAGGGGTCCCAGATTGCGAGAGGGCACAGGCCAGGCTGAGGACCTCACCGGTGCACGATCGGAGCCGGGGAGGGAGGTGGGAGGTTGGCCAGCTATGGAGGGACAGTGGGAAGGCTCCAGGGCATGTCTGGCCCATCTCGCCCAGTCCTAATCAGCTGGACCCCAGCAGCAAGCTAACCTACCAGTCGGAGCGTCTGCCCCCTGGTGGTCAGTGCACGTCATAGAGACTGGTCAACTGGTCTACTGTCTGCCTCCTGGTGGTCAGTGTACATCATAGTGAGAGGTTGAGCAGCCTTACCATATCATTAGCATATTACGCTTTGATTGGTTGAACGGCTGACTGGATGACCGGACAATTAGCATATTAGGCTTTTATTATATAGGAATTTTTGTTCAGTATTTTATGCCAAATCACAACATAGCATAAATCTTTTCTCATATGTTCATATGATTTTCTCATCTTCATTAATTGGATTGTCAACCAATCTAAAAGTTTATTTATTACTTCTATTCCAAATGTATCTCTTTCTGTTAGTGAATTACGACTTTAGGTATGATCTGAAATTTGAGGGGTCAAATTCAATTTGTCTTTGCTCATCTGCATTGCTTTATTTCATATTCTGTTAATTTTTGTATAAAAGTTAATCCTTGCCTGGCTGGTGTGGCTCAGTATCAATCTATGAACCAGGAGGTCGTGGTTCCAATCCTGGTCAGGGCACATGAATGGGTTCCAGGTTGCAGGCTCAAGCCCCAGTAGGGGGCATGTAGGAGGCAGCTGATCAATAATTCTCCCTCATCACTGATGTTTCTATTTCTCTCTCCTCCCTTCCTCTCTGAAATCCTATCTAATAATAGACAAACATGGTAATTAACCGTACCTCCGACATGCTTCCCATTGGCTAATCAGGGCAATATGCAAATTAACTGCCAACCAAGATGGCGGCCGGCAGCCAGGCAGCTGAAGCGAACAGGAGGCTTGCTTGCTCCAGTGATGGAGGAAGCCAAGGTTCCCCGCCTGCCGCTGC